ACCACCACCCCGAGACACCAGCATCAGTTGCTTCACAAGGGCGGTCATGACTCAGTCACCCCTCATTATCCTCATCTTTCAATACCATTGCATTAGGGAATTAAGTTTCAAAATGAGTTTTGATAGGGGGCAAACCATATTTAAACCATTAATGAAAATAACATGAAGTGATTATTATTTAAATCTTTATAGGGTAATGGCAATGTCCACTGGGACCCTAAAATTCAATACCAACCTACCCTGCTTTTGTGGGTACATATTGACTCACAGTTTGTACAAATCATGTAAGCAGTTGTGTGACCTTCCTCCTACTGCATATAGTCACATAGGCTTTCTTGCTGTGGCTTGATTAAGCAACACGTGTGAACTCCCTCCTAGGCCTTTGCAAATGCTTTCTGTGTCCACCTCCTCCCAGCATATACTAGTAAGTTGACTTGTCCCCTTACTCTGTGCAGATCTCCACTCAGTGTCACCTAATCGAGGAAGCTTTCCATAATAATAGCATCACCTTACTTATTACCATTTAATTTTTTTTCCATACAATGGTTACAGCCAGATTTCAGTATCTGTTTATTGCATTCTACTCTATTGGGCTATATGCAAGGACTCTACGAATTATTCATCTACTCTATCCCATAGGACTGGACACATAGAACCTATTTAGTTAATATTTGAGGGATAAATGAATATAATATTTACCTTGTTGCACTTTTAGTTTGTAAAAACACTGAACATGTCTTGCTTAAATGCTACTGCCCAAGATTATTTTCTAAAGAGCCATGCAGTGATGCTCTTTAGAGTCAGACCATTTCTTCTAAAAACCACTGATTTCTTTAAAGATGGTGAAAATGAACCTAAGAGTCCTTTGGGTGCCACTCGTATTCTATATCATGAGTCAGTGGTGTCAGCAGCTAAATCAAGACCTTTGAGCAGGACCAGGCAAAGTTGAATTTCCCCAGAAAGATAGACAAAGGACTTGAATAGATACTTTTCCGAAGAAAATATACAAATGGCCAACATTCACAATAAAAAATGTTTAACATCATTAGTCACTAAGGAAATGCAAATTGAAACCATAATGAGATAAGCACTTCCACCCATTAGGATGGCTACCATAAAAAACAACAGAAAATAATACCTGTTATTGAGGGTATGGAGAAATTGGAGTCCTCATGAGTTTCTCAGGAGGATATAAAATAGCTCAGTCCCTGTGAAAAACAACATGGGAATCTTCGCAAAGCTAAGTAGACTTGCCATATGGCTTCTGGGGCACAGACCCTAAAAGAACTGAAAATTGGGGTGGAAGCAAACATTTATGTGCCAGTGTGCACTGCAGCGTTATTTGCTACAGCCAGAAGGTAGAAAGATCCCAAATGTCCGTCAAAAGAGAAGTGAGTGAAAAAGAGAAGTGAATGAAAAGGTGACATGTCCACATGATGAAATATTATTCAGGCATAAAGAGAAATGAGGTTCTGAATAATGTTTGTTTTGCTTTTTGTTTTGGTACCGGGGATTGAACTCAGGACCTTGCACTTGCAAGGCAGGCGGTGAAACCACTGAGCTAAATCCCCGGCCGAGCAACGAGGTTCTGGTGCGTGTGCAATATGGATGAATCTTGAAGGCAGTATGCTGAGTGAAAGAAGCCAGACACAGAAAGACAAATACCGTGCGATTCCACCACAGAGCAGTCAGATGGACAGAGACATCGGAATGGTGGTGGCTAGGGGCTGGTGGAAGAAGGAATAGGGAATTATTACTTAGTGGTTGCAGAAATTCTGTTTGGGGTGATAAAATGATGTGGAAATAGATACTAATGGTAGTTGTACAATCTTAAGAGATAACACCACTGAAATGTACACTTAAAATAGCAAATTTTGTATCATATTTATTTTATTACAGTAATTTTAAAAAAATTACCTGGAAAAAACAAATAAACAAATGAAAAGAAAGGCAAAAGGCAAACACTAAAAGAGCCAAATTTGATATATTGCAATGGGAAGTCCTTTTTCATCTTCCTGAAATGAACAGCACTATTTTCTTTTTCAGCTCAACAAGTTATTCTTTAATAGTCTAGCAAGTGCCATTTGAGAAAAGTAGAAGTAATAAACTGTCATGTGATTCGGCAACAGGTAAACAGAGGTGAGCCCCAGAAACAGGCTAAAGTCCACATGACCTGCTGTGGAGCAGGCTGACGCAGGGTCCATCGGCAGTGCTTTAACTGACTGAGCTGCGTGCTTTGCCTCCAATGGATGTCACTTCCCAAAGTCACTATTTTGCTGTTTGCTCAGGCCACCTCTTTCCTGTCCACCTGTCCATGAGATCTAGTCCAGGATTCTAGCTCTATTTTGAGGAGTTTACACCTTCCTTTTGCTCTTTCTCATCCCAGCAGTCTTTACAATATGGTTTCCATTCATGGGGCTGCTAGAAGTCCTTCCTTTTCTTCTGCATTGGGCTCACTGCCCTTTCCTGAAAGGCATGAGGATCCTGGCCCTTTCCCACCTAGGATCAGGACACACCAAGGTCCGAGACAGGCTCTACCTTGCACCTTCCTATGACTCCCATTGCTTTCTCCTCTCCCTCCTTCCGCCTACCCAAGCCCACTTCCTCCCACTTCCCTACTTCCACCTCTGCCCTCACCTCTGCACTTTGCATCTTGGGTACCTCCTCTTGTGAGTCCCACACCACTAGTACAGTATTTGTTTCCCTCATCCTACACCAGCCCATCTTGAAGCCAAAGAAGATTCCAACACCAGTTAGAGGATCCTGGGTCTTCCAACTACATCCTCCATTACTGAGGACTGAGCTCAGGGACTTGGTGGACTTGGATCTTTCCACTGTACCAGGGTTTGCACTGTTTGTGCAGCTTTATGTATTACAGTTTGTTTTCCTCTCTTTTTCTGTGGCTGTGTGCCTCAGTACGAAATGCTTTGAAAGGGCAGCAGCAGGTTTATCTTTTAGTTTTGCTCCAAGCCAATACCTTGTATAAGCAAATGAGAAGAAGAGGTAGGAATGACTTTGATGGCGTGAGAATAGCAGAGATTTTAAGAGATTGATGTTCTCTATTGTTAAACCCTAGATGCCAACTTCGTATTCTGGTTTCATTAAGAAAAAAATTGTTCCTTGAGATAAAGGTGAATGGCTAGATAAAGGGAAAGGAATGACTGGTGTTCCTCTGTTATTTCCACTGTGAGCAAATTGATTCTTTTTGCGGGGAGAGCGGATGCTATGTATATGGGTAGTGGTTAGTTCATATTTATAATTTTCATTGGTACCATTAGCAGCTGACCAGCTAGGTTAAATGTCTTTAAGCTGAAGCTTTGGATACTTTTTTATCACTGGATACACTTTTATAAAGGCAACCTAGAATACTCCAAGTCTTCTGGTCGCAGCCACATAATAGTGTGTGTGACAGTAATACTTTTCTTCACAATCTTAAATACACTAAACATTTTTTTTTCAATTTTTTTTGTGGTTGCACAAAAACTTGATTCTCACTTTTGGCAGGATAATTTTTTTCAGTAGTTACATGTTAAATGTATTTCTTTGAAATGCATTATATTTTTAAACATTCAGAGTTTTCTGTTAAACCCTCTAATATTCTGTGTCTATTTCCATTATGTCTGTGCCACAGACCTCACTGGTGTAACCTTGTGTTTGCTAATTTTCAGTAGATACCGTAGTCCATTAGTCTTTCAGCTTGAGTGAACTATGCCAGGTCATACATTGGGGTGCATAGGTGATCCCCAAATACTGGCCCTGACTCTCTTTGCATCTTTAACTTATGACATGTCATTTTCATAGGTGCCTATAAAATGTTGTTCTGAACCTTGAAATGCACAGTTTTGGTTTGTAGAGAAAAATGAGTCTCATATTTTCTCTGTGTTCTAGAAGCTTATTTAAAATGAGAATATATGGAAGGACATTCAGTCATAACTCAATTAATGTTCTAGCTGACAGAAATCACCCATAGATGTAATCTAGCAGCAGCTTTATCAGCAGACATACTGAGTAAACTGTCTGCCTGCAGCCAGGCACAGCTTACATAACTGACTGAACCCCAGACAGAAAACCACAGAGTGACTCGGACCACTTGACATTTTACAGTGATGCCTCACATTCCCAATCCCAACAAAAGGTACTTCTTTATCTGAAATCAAACATGCGTTTTAAAGCATACTTACCACACCTCCTCCCACTCCTGGAGTTGTACCACGGAAATACTCTGCCATTCAGGCTTGGTCATGGCCAGGTAAAAAGTAAAGAAGGATGCTCTATGCTCAGGAAAATTGTCAGGTCTTTGGGATTTTTCTTGGAGTCTTCTGTCCCCCTCCCATTTCTGGTGACACTTGTCCCTTTATCCCCTCAGGGAATGACTGGGTGCAAGCAACTTATATTTCCTAATTATGTTCAGATATGCACGTGAATATCTGTTCCCCTCTGTGAAATGTACACCAATCCACTGCACAATGGAATCACATCACTTACTTCTTGTAGAAACCTACTAGTCTTAACTTCCAAGTAAGGAAGCAGAACCTTTGTGTTTATGGAATACTGCCACTTGCCAGAGTCAAATCAATTACACGCATTACTACCTGTGATTCTCAGTGAAGCGAGATGGGCACAATTATCAGCCCCCTTGCACAGGTGAGGAGACTGAGGCTTAGAATTGGCTTCTGTGGGAGTTTTTTTTTTAATCCTAAAATCGTACAGATATAGACAGTTTTATTAAAGAAATGTCAAGTTTTCTCTGTCCAGTCCAAACCAGAAGCCCAGTTCTGACAGTTGACTCAAGTAGGAAAAATCTCCCTGCCCTGAAGCCCACCCTAGCCATGGAGGACTTGGCCAGGCCTCATCGCATCCTTATCTCTGCCTCCAACATGGGTTCTCCCAGCAGCTATCACTGCTCACTAAATTTCCTGTATTCTATATGATCAGATTTGACCTTAGTTATATTTAATTTTTCAGTTTTTCCAGAGAAACCAGCCCCATTTGACTTCTACACTAACAATGATTCCTGTATCACTTCCACTCCTCCTTATGAATGTCTGATTGAGAAGCATAACAGTGGGATACTTTCTTTCCATTCACAGATACATGACTGTGCATGTTAACAGAGAGCCTGGGGTAGAGCACTTTAGCATGCACAAGGCTCTGAGTTTCATCCACAGTACCACAAACAACAAGAATTAAAAAACCCAGAAAGTGGTCCAGGGATTTAGCTCAGTGATTCTGCCACCTGCCTCTCAAGCGCAAGATCCCAAGTTTGATCCCCTATACCAAAACCAAAACACCCCAGAAAGCTCTATAAAATAGAGGAAGGAATCTGGAAGCTTTCAGAGGAAAGCAGTTAAAGTAATGGCAAACTCAAAAAGGTCTCCCAGAGTGCCCCAAATGAAAGGGGCTGTGTTCTAATTGTCTAATTTAATTATTTGTGAGCGGGAGAAATTTAGACCTCTGTGGCCCATCTTCTCTTCTGGCTGAAAAAAAAAAAAAAAAAAAAAGACAGTCAAAGAAATGGACAAGAAGTGAGAACCTTTATTTGCAGGTTACTTTGATCTTTTAATGCACCCTCTTGTTTGTTTGCTTATAGCTAAAACAAAATACTTCAGAGAAAAATAACTGTTTGGTGTTAGGCCATCACAGTAAGAGAGCTGTCATAGTGTTCTGGGGACATGGGCCTCTGGTACTTTATTTGTATTATATTCTGGGTAGGATCAGTCCCAATAGTGATTTTTCTTAAGGATTTTTTTTCCCTAGGGTGCTAGGATTGTAAGTGAAGTGTTATTATCACATTTAATAGCTTTTCCCTTTAACAAAAACCACATTGTTTAGTTCTGCTATGACATTCAGAAATTTGATATCATCCTTCCTGATATTGTAGTCAAATTCTCAAATATAGTCATGGATGACATTTTATAAAGTGAAACCTATGGAAAATCCCTCATTTGTTCTCCTGGGTGAGGGTTTTTTGCCTCTTGACAGAAGAGGCCAAGCCTTTTTCTGCTTTGTTCTCTGCCAGTGTGAATTTTCAGTAGAGCAAGAAAGTAATTTTAGTATCCTTAATGACTTTCCCCACAGTTGGGCTGATTAGCAGCATGGAAAATAGATATTTAAGTCAACTTTCTCCAAAGGATTCTAAATACAAATCCACTACGGTCTGTGGCAGAAATGCTTATGGTTTTTTCTGAAGTAGACACAAGATGGGCTTTGCATAGGGAAATAAATCCACAGAACTTTATAAAAAATATATTTACTTAAAATTTATTATCTCTTCCTTCCCTTTTAAAGCCTTGCACAGACTGTGGACATGCTTAGTCTGGAAGAGTCTGTCATGAAAACACCAGTCTGTATGCCCTGAAACAAATGTACACATGACACATTAAAGTGAGGCAAAAGAAACCAAATAAATACATCATTTTTCCTTCTTAACTCCCTTTTTTAGACTTAGCAGGGAATTTGTACATGTAGAGGATATTTGCTATAAATAGACTCTTAATATTCCTTACTAATCTGGAGGAGATGTGTTAGCTTTGTGTTGCTATGACAAAATAATTGAACATATCAACTAAAAAGAGAAAAGAAGATATCTTTTGGCTCTAGGTTTCAGAGGTTTTAGTCCATGGCCAGCTAACTCTATTATTTTTAGGCCTGTGGTGAGGCAGAAATATTGCGGTGGGAGGGCGTGGTGAAGGAAAGCTATTCACCTAATGGCAGCCAGGAAACAGAGAGCAAAAGATCCCAAGAGGACAGGACTTTGGACCAGATATGGTGCACAAGGTCATGTCCCATGACCCACTCCCTTCAGCTAAGCCTCCTTCCTGTTCCCATCACCTTCTAATAATGCCATCAGGTTATGATCGCACTAATGGATCAATCTACTGATGAAGTTAAAAACCACGTAGTCCAATTATTTCCCAAAATGCCAATCAACTGGCAGCCAAATATTTAATTCATGAGTTCTTGGGGACATATAAATCCAGACTGTAACAGAGGATCTGTTAAGGAAAGAAAAGCAGATTAATTGATGTAAATTCTGTGGACTAAGTAGAATGATTTTTGTAGTTTACTGATTAAAAACTATAGTAGGACTCTTTCAATAGCATTGCTTTGTTTTTACAAGACTTCTGAGCAACATACTTCAATTAGATTCCTCCAAATGCAAGCAGACATCTTCCTTCCTGGCTGCCAAGGTAACTATTGTAAAGAACACTCTCCCAAATGGATCACAGATCATTTTCCTTGCAGTCCCAGAACACACACACACACAAACACAAACACATCCACCCCAAATCACCTGGCAACTTTGGTTCCCTATGGTAAGGAGTGGCTGGGAGAAGGGTAGAAAAGACTTTTCCCCAAACAGGCGTTTTTAATTTTGCATCATATGACTATATGTATTTCCTACTCGAAAACAACAGCTAAGAAGAAACCTAGGTGACTACAAGTTTGTACATCTCAACTTAGTCACCCAGGACTTCCCATTGTACCTCTTGGAGAAAAAAGGGCAACTGTAGATTCCTGAACCCCTTACCCAGTTAGCTGAACATCTGCAGCCTTTGCCCTACATTCCTAATTCCGGGGGAAGGATCCCTTCAGTAATATTTTAGTGGGAACATATTTTTATTATCCTTACTAGGGTGGCTATGATTATAATAGTCACTACCTCATAACCAGGGGAGCATGACCTTGGAAGACAGACTCAGGCCCCAATTCCAGGCAGTTAGAGGGAAAGGCAGGGCTGCTGCTGGGAGGGTCACGAGCAGTCTAGCTACTCTTGCCAGCTGTTGGTAGGCAGGGCAGCCAGGGGTGAGATGGCGGGCATCAGACCTGGGAATACCATAAGCAAAGGAGGGGTCAGAATGGGCAAGACAGAGATGCTGATGTCTGACTGAAGAACATATATTCATTGACACAGAAAGTTGGTACCAGAGGATGTGCCTGGCGGGCCATCCAGGCAGAGGGAGACAGGTGTAAGGAGATTCAGTTGTGGAGAACAGGTGGGAATCAGGAGCAAGGAGAGCTGATCTGGCCTTCAGTTTCCAGGGACAGGTCCCCGAATCCCCAGAAGACAGGCAAAGAAGACAGGCAGGAGAGTGGGAAGAACTGGATTTTTCTGGTAGTTAACAATGGAGACTGCTATGCAGAGCGCAAATCAGGGAGTCTGTACTGGGCTGGAAGTGTAGAATCAGACTGAGAGCGACACAGAAGGCCATACATTTTGTGTGGGATCCGGGACCTGTAGAGTCCTCTAAGAAGAGGCTCTTCCTAGAACAGGGTCTCTGCAAGTGCAGGGAGAGAAAAATTGAAGCTGAGACCCAGGAAGGAAAAAGAGAGACATTAAAGCCGTAGTTTATCATCTCCTAGATATGGGAGTATCCTTAAGAATTTTCCAGATTTTAAAATGTTTACTGCAAAACCACATTTCCTCTAGTATATGTGGGTGTGTGAATGTTGCCTTTTAGGTTATATATGTATTACTATGGTGGAGAGCTGAAGGTATGCTTCAGTGTGTAACCAGCATCTAGAGAATAAAGTATATTTCTGCTTAAGCTCTTCCTTAAATGAGATTAAAATCATACTTTTCTGCCTCACTATCCCAAATTGTTCCAAAGGAAAATCTCTGCTCTTCCTTAAAAGATCTGTAATCCTATAGCTATGTCAAGTTGGCATGTCATTTGGAAATGGTGACAATGTTCTGGAACTACAGCAGTGATGACTGTATAAATATGAATATATTAAAAATCTTTGGTATAATTTACAAGACTAAATTTTATAGTGTGTGAATTATATCTCAATTTTCTTGAAAAAAAAAGGTGTATCTGCCTAGAAAGATATAGAAAGATAGAAGCTGAGGAGTGAGAAATAGGTTTTGATAAATAATCTGTAGAACTCTGTTTAACAGTAAAGATACCTTGTCACTTTGGAAAGCATTGATTCCTCATTTTTGCAAGGAGGTGAAGTCCTGGATCAGACGCTGGATGGGTTGAATGAATCACGGCCATAGTCCTGCATGTGGAAGCGAACTGTCCACATGTTCGATCAGCTGATGCTCAACAGGCACCAGGCTTGGAGCCCAGGACACAGCCGGTGGTATCTGACAGTGCTCCTAAGTGGCTACTTCAGTTCTTACCAAATTCCCCTAAAAAGTACCTTTCTTGTGTGTGTCACACAGGCAAAGTATGTGCTTATCTTACAGACACTGTGCAACTTTCTTAATGGGTCAGAAGCTGTTGATAACCTTTGTCATCTAACTGCAGCCCACACACATATTTGTCCTGCTTGCCTTGACGGCAGCATTCACATAGCCTTAGGCGCAGATAATGCTTTTGGTTACATGAAGTCTAGTGTCCATGGAGAGTGCAAGTGAGCCCCAAGAAGCAAGTCACATACAAACATCCTGGCACATGTTGCTCTAGCAACCCAATGGGACCTTCTCATCCACCTCAAAGCCACTGTGTTTCTGCCTTGACTTGCCTGCCCAGGGTGAGGTCAGAGACCCATCCCCTCAACCCCACTTAGCTAGCTTTGGGTTTCCTGAGTTGGTCCTTTATTTATAAGACTTCCTTTCACAATTGAACTATTTCAGGATATATGGCTTCTTCCAAGCCCTGTTATTTCAACACTTTCTTTCCAGCTTTCTAATATATAAATGAAGCCCCTCTTCATCTTGACCAACATCTGAGTGCCTTTGTTTCCACCTTTCCTCTGCTGATGCCAGCCTATAGCCACACTGATGGTCTCCTAGAGCCTCTAGCCACCCGAAGACCATGCCAGAACTCACTGTCTCTATTTGAACTGTTCACTTTGTCTGCAGTCTTCCTTGTTCCTGCTCCACATTCCACCTGCCAGTTGCCATTTTCCTCACCTGGCCAATTTCTTTGTATCCTGTAAAGCTGAGCTCACTCCCTAGGTTTCTGGGACCTCCTTGGCCTTCCTCTGCTCAGATCAAACCTATATGCCTCTACAGTAGCAACTGCCTGGTGCATGTTTGCCATTCTACTGTAAACCCCTTGAAGGGAAAGTCTATGACTAGGTGTCTGCAGACCCAGCCGAGAACTTGATGAAGTGTGCACCCACTGATACCTGTTGAACTGAGCCCCATATTCAGTCTCACTCTTCCATTTCTAACACGACTGCTTCTCATCAGCGGTGTTTATTGTTGTTGTCATTTTTCATACATTGAGAAAGCTGCTGAGAAAAATAACTTTACTGCTACCACCTGGAAGACTGTCTGGTGATTCTGTGAGACTTGGCTGTTTTGTTTTGTTATACTGAGATGGGCAGATTCAGAGATTAGTGTTTGTATTACAGTCATACTGTTTTGGACCAGAAAGGAAACAAAAGCTCAGAATTCTTAAATAGCTTGTCCAGAGTGCCTCAGGTTGGGACTTAGCTCATGAAGTTCCTATAATACCTTGCTGTCCTGACTTATTAAAATTCTCTCCATGTTTAACATTTTTGAAAGTGAGCACTATTAAATATCTTTTACAATTCTGAAGTATTTTATAGGACAAAATTTGACATCCCAGGTATAATCATAGAAAGGGGCCCCATTATGTTCCTGTGGTGTCATGACCAAGACCTGACCCCAGAGAATTGGGGCCAATTTTTTTTGTGTATGTGCCTGGGATCGAACTCGGGTCCTTGTGCTTGCAAGGCAGGCAGCAGCACCATTGAGCTAAATCCCCAGCCCTAGGGCCAGTTTTGTATGTAACTTTCAAAAAGCAGTTTTCAACTTTTTGTGTACAATTTGCGTATTTCCTTTAGTCCACCATGTCATCATGAGCATCACTGAAATGTTTTGTGTTTAGATAGGTGTCATGCCCTGTGCTAAAGGTTGGTTTTATACATTCTTAGGCTAAGACAGGGAAGGGACTATTTTGAAAGTGATCATGAGCAGCTGATGGTGTTTTCTTATGCTTTTCACAAGTGCAACTTAGTGATTCACTTTTTGTGTTATCCAAAAAAGACTTGTTCATAATGTCTGTCTGTTGTCAATTTTCATTTCAGGTGACCTTCCAGGTCACTCTTCCATGTGCAAGTGACAGGCATTATGAGCATGCTGGGCGGTGCTGCAACAAGTGTGAACCAGGTAGGCTTGTTCCCGAGCATCTGCCAGTGTCCTCCAAAGGTGGGGGGTACTTTTGCTGGTTGGTTTTTTTCTGTCCTACCAGAAGAAAAAGAAATAGGATAGACCTTTCATGGTAGTGGCAGGAATAATGTCTATCATTTGGAAGACAAAAGTCTCCCTCAACAGATAAATTCACCCAAAATTCAAAAGGAGTTTCAGAAACTGGTATTTAATTTTCCAAAACACTATTTCTTGAGAAGGCAAGACTTTCAAAATCATAGTTTAGCACTTTAGACTCAAACTCTCACAGTGTGAAATGCCACTCATTTAAAATTATTTTTCCCACAATAATTTATTTTATTTTGGAATAGCCACACTGGAATTCTCAATGCTAAATTGCCAAAGTCTTGTTAGACCTTCTCCCACATGCCTGCCAAGGAGCAGAAGGGGGACTGACTACTACCTTTTTTTTTTTGATACTGGGGATCGAACTTGGGTCCTTGTGCTTACGAGGCAGGCCACCGAACCGCATGACTACCATCTTCTAAAGCCAGTCCTGCCAGTGTGTGGCCAAGTATTTCTACAGGTCCAGTGAAGTCCCCAGCCCACTGGGTCCTCATCTTCTCATTGCTCAGGGGAAGGGTGGGAAGGTGGGTTACCTTATTAACAAGGCCCTTGGGAGGTTTTAGCTGCAGATATTTCTTGATGTGCAGGATCAATATCCAATAATTGTGTGTGTGTGTGTGTGTGTATGTGTGTGTGTATGTGCGTGTGTGTGTGTCTTGGTCAAACTAATTTAGCCATGAGCCCATATTGTTTGTAGAATGTAAGAAGTTAGCCATACAAAGTGAATGTGGAGAGGATTTTGGAGGTGGCAGGATGGAGAGGGTACTAAAGTTCCTCTTATTCCCCAAGTGGGTTCCAGGGAACCCCTCAAGTTCTGTAGAACTCAGTTTAAATCCATAGTTCTACTCCATAACCAGAAGAGTTTGGGGGTACAAAGGCAATTGGTCTTTTATTTAGGTGAACTAAGAAGTTGCTATGACCACAGTAAACTCAGGAGGGGACACATCAGGCATACCAAACCTGGGACAGGATATCTTAGCCAGCCAAGAGCCTGCAGAGCCCAGCAGGGTACCATACTCATCTCATACATCTCATTGTCTTTGGTGGTGGAGGGCACTTTCTGGGATTATGGTCATGTAAACTGGACCAGTAGATTGGCACCTGCTCTTTCTCCCCCTTTCCCGCTTCCCCTCCCTCCTTCCCTCCCTCCCTGCCTCCCTCCCCCACCCCTCCTTCTCTCTCTCTTTCTTGCAGAGTCTTGAAGCTGGCCTTAAACTCACTGTGTAGCCCAGGCTGGCTTTAAACTCACAGCGAACCTCAAGCCTCATTCTCCTAAGTGCTGGAATTACAGGCGTGCACCACTACACCCAGCTTTTCTTTTTCTTTTTCTTTTTTTTTTTTACTTCTTTCCTTCTCTCTTTTTCTATTTATTTATTTATTTTATACTACGGATTGAAACCAGGGTCCCTGAGTTATGCCTCGCCAGTGAATGTTTTATTTGCATTGTTTTTGGAAAGATTATTCTTTTTTTTTTTTTTTTTTTTTTTTTTTTTTTGGTACTGGGGTTCCAACTCCAGTCCTTGTGCTTGCAAGGCAGGCACCAGAACCACTGAGCTAAATCCCTGGCATATTTTGTTTCGGATTAGTGCATTTTCAGCTGTTGTTTTGTGTCACATTCTTGTCATTTTGTTTTGATCAGTACATTTTCCCCTTCCAATTTAAGGAAAGTACATGTCTTCTAAATGCACTACTACCTCTGACAGCGCGTGCTTGCCCTGTGGTCCCGATGAATACTTGGATACCTGGAATGAAGAAGATAAATGTTTGCTGCATAAAGTGTGCGACACAGGTGAGTCACTCACATATGTGTGTCAGTGGGAAGTGTGGAAAGCCAGGATCCATCTTTTGTCCCACCTTTTGTTCCTCTGATCTCTTCTTTATAAATATTTTTAGAGATGTTGTTTCTTTTGAAGGGCCTGGGAAAGAATTATGACCATGGTTTTGGACCCTCAATGCCCAGGATTTTTAAAAAATCTGCATTTAGAACTTTTGTCCTGGAATGTGTTTATGTTGCAGTGTAATCATGAACACATTGAACATTTGACAGAATGTTTCCACAATATTGGTATATGTGTTGTCTCATTTAACCTTCCCCGAACCCTGTGAAGCAGTCACGTTTGTCCCATTTTACACATGGAGGAACAAACTTAAAGGTTGAATAACTTCTCCAGTGCTAACTGATGAGGAACAGGATTCAAAACCAAACTTCTGACTTGTAAAACGTTTTCCTAAGCTACAAATGTTCTGTTGGCTCTACTATTTGATTTCCTTCCTAGAATGCCATAATTTTTGTATTTTTCTTTTTTGCCTCAAATGGTTCTTTAAATTATGGTTTGCTTTTAGGAATCAGGATCAAAATGTCTCATAAGTTTCTTAATCTAGAGATTTTTCTCTCCTTTTTCCTTTTTCTATCCTGTTTATATGTTGAAAAAAACATGTTAGTGCTGTGGAGGTCGCAGTCTGGCTTTTGTCAGGTGCATCCCCTCGATGTCATTTAACATATTCTTCTGTCACCTATATTTCCTGCAAATTGGTTGTATATAATAACAACTGTTTGATATATCTGGAAGATGAGTCAGGTTCTGGTTTACTTTTTGTCATTTGGATTTTGGCAGATCTCCTTTATAAATACTATAATTCACATGTATAATATTGGAATTATATAATGACTGCTTATCTCTCTTGTGCTTTAAAAAAAAATTACTTTGAGACAGGGTCTTGCTAAATTGCCCAGGCTGGCTTCAAACTTGCAATCCTGTCTCGGCCTCCTGAGTAGTTGGGATTACAGGTGTGCACTGCTGTGCTCAGTAGCTGTTTATCCTTTTTTTGTCATATTAGCAGCTGTATCATAAGCATGACCTAGATCTGTTTTCATTAGGAGCTGTAGAAAGATGATGTTCTACCTCTGTCAGTCCTTCTTAATTTATAAAGAGAAACTTCCTTATCAACTGTTTGTTATCCTGAAGTGCAGTACCTATAGGAAAGGCAGAATAAATGCTTCTAATATTATCAGTTTTCAAAATAATGACTTGAGCATCCAGATTTTCCCAGGAATTTATTAATGGTATGAATTCACAAATTTAGATGTATTTGAGGTGTTTCAGTCTATTGCAATCTATTGGCTTTATTGGTGCTCAGGTTATCCCACTTCTTCAAGATGGTCCCAGGTCTTCTGGTACAACCCCAGGCATTTTGAAGGGATGCCTTGCTTCTAGACTTACCTTGGAATTTCCTACCCTGAGGTGTAATCAGTCCTTTCTCCAGGGATTTGTGATTGCCTTTAGTGGTCATTTTATTTAGTGACCTCAGTCAGAGTGCTTGGGTGATTCATTGCTACTGGATCAATAATCTTCATTGTAATCATTATCTCCCACCTTTGGACAAAGCTAGAGAATAAGTATTTTTTAAACTATAATTTTTCTAATGTATTAAAGATTGCTGGAGATTTTTGGCTGGAGAAGATAACATGGAAACTTCACTGAATAGAAGCATCTGATTAAGTCTTTTTTATTTCCCACTGCTTAGTAATGTCTTTGACTCATTGCTGTCTTTTGGAAATAAAGATTCATTCTGTCTACTGCCAAAGTTGATTAAAGCCTGAAACTGGGTGCATTAAAGTATTCTGGAATACATCAATAAATTCAAGACTCCCCAGGCTTATGTTCTCTTACATTTGAGTAGGATCCTGGGAGTCCTTGGAATTTTCCAGAGAAGTTTCATATGTCTATGTGGGTTCTAATGCTCTGTGTATATTTCCACATACTGGCATTGCCACAGAGCTGACTTGGGCTTGGAGTGCAGACACAGGAGGATAAAGGGACTTCTTCAGGTTGACCATGCTTGGGTCTGAAAAGACTGGAAATAGGAAATACTCCCTCTCTATTGGCTATAATGTGGGACAGTGAAGGAAAGAACAGATTTCTAATTTGTCTCCTCTTCCTCTGAAACTCCCAGCTGTATTCAGGAATATAAGGTGAGAGGGCTATTTGGACAGTCCTGCTGAGATGGAGTCCTACACATGTACAAGGTCTGTTTTCAGCAATGCTATAGATTTGTATTGTGTGTGTGTGTGTGTGTGTGTGGTATCATAGATCAAATTCCTATGTACCATAATTGCAGAAAAATTGGAATAGTTCAGATTTGAAGTAAGAAGACGCACATTTTGCTGTCTTAGGAGAAAAGAGTAAAAGATGTTAAGTGTTTGGAGAAGGGACCGATTTCCAAGCATGCCTCCTTGTCTGCCTCTATGCTTTCTCTACCTAACTATCTTGGACCCCTTCGGGATCTCAAGATGAGTCCAAATCTCCAGAGCCCTGTTGTCTTAGGTCTAAAGTAGCTGTGGTGTTAATACTGATGACATTTGGATTTACTAAAATTCAAGAAGCTGAGTAGTTTACATTAGACTGTTTTGCATTTACTAAATAGCAATCACACATTCCCCAGTCCTTAATCTTCCTACTACCATGGAAATTAATTTTGCTAAACTCATAACCCTTAGAGGAAAAAAAAAAGCGCTGGTATTTTGCGCCAACACAGGAAGCGCCAGGAGGAACTTGGGAGTTCCTTAAAGCAAGTGTCCTGAGTGAGTCATGTTTCACGACAGCCAAGCCGCTCTGTCGTGGAGGTCCGAGGCCAACTGTGCCTTCTCCCTCTTGGTGACCACTGACCTGTCTTATGTCTCCCGCAGGCAAGGCCCTGGTGGCAGTGGATCCCGGCAACCGCACGGCACCGCGGCGCTGCGCCTGCATGGCTGGGTATCACTGGAGCCAGGACTGCGAGTGCTGCCGCCGGAACTCAGAGTGCGCACCAGGCTTCGGCGCCCAGCACCCCTGTACGGTTGTGTGTTTGTGCGTGTACGTGTGCTTGCGTGCATGCGTGCACGCGCGCGTGTGTTTATGAAGGCGCGCATGGGCTCCAATCCGATCCTACAGAACCCTGAAGTAAAAATCAGGGCACTGCGAACCTCCCGGCAGTTACGGCCTCGTTAAGCAGGTCGTGGTGAGCAGGATCGCAGCACTGGGAGACTGGAGCAAGAGGACTACAGTTGGAGCCAGCCAGGGCAATTTAGCAACTTAGTGACACATGGTTTCAAAAAAAAAGGAAGCGTGGATGCTGGGGATGGAGCTCAGGTTGAAGGCCCTGAGCTCCATCCCTAGCTGAGGGTGGGGAGTGGGGGTTATTGATGTTCCAGGCAGCGAGATGACACTAGAGGTATGTGAAAGACCCTTGATTCTCCACAAGAGGCAGATGCAGGCGAGATCTTTGAAAGAAGTTCCGGCTCAGGCTCTTCAAAGGGGATGTGAGCTGTAAGCCTACATGCTCTGTCACATCACAGTGGCACTGGGGCTGCTCCAGCACCCCGGCATCCCCCATTAGGATAACACAGGGATCCTTCCTTTTTTTTTTTTTTTTTCTTTTAAAGTCAGAGTCTCACTATATACGTAGCCCAGGCTGGCCACAAACCTTTGATCTTTCTACCTCGGTCTTTCCAATGCTTAGATTACAGGCCCATATCACTACTCCCAGTGCGCTCTCTCTCTCTCTCTTTTAATTGTGCACCCTCTGAGAAAAAACCATGCACCACTTAAAGTAGTTTTAAGTTGACATCTACAGTTTTTTATTACCAATTTAAAGGTTGCTAAGGACTTAGTTACTAGGGAATTATATGCATTTAACACATTTAAAAATAGTCATTGGACTCTAGGCATCATAGCAATTTAAAATGCACTAATCATTTTTCACTCAGGAATTTTGTGGAGTTTCTTTCTCTCCTTTTAATTTGTATCCATTTCATCATCCCCACAAAATTTTATCCCAAAATATGTTTATGTTTGGGGGACTTTTATCTTTTAAAAAAAGGGACCTGTTTGAAATCACAATTTAAAAAAAAATTACTGTAACAAAGTTCTCAGGGTTAAAAACATTTTTTGCTGGACTGAGTTGCCACCACATTTATTATTACAGTTTGTCACAAATGAATATATCTTGCTATATTCTAATCATAAAAGTAAAAGCTCTTGAACTTAGTAATGAGTGGCATTTTCCCTATTATATATTCATAAATGAATGCCGCTTATTGCTTAAATGCAACAGGATTCAACATCAGTTATTTCTCCACTTTTTGTTGTCATATATGCAAGTGCTAAGATAGACACCTGTTATTGGGGTGTGTCCCTTAGTTATATCAGTACCTTCTGAGTTATATGTCCATAATCACATAGTGATGTGATATCAGAAGTTATTTTTTCATGATTTTTCGTTTGATAATTCAATTGTGTCCTTCCATTTTATTTTAAGTAAAGAAATAGGAATCCTCTTGTCATGGGGAAGTAACTGCCTACCTATTATATATCAGATGTGCTGAATTTGTGTCTCTTGATAACAAAAGGACAAGGGAGGTTAAGAGTAGGAAAAGTTTATTGAGTGGAAGCTCCTGAGAGACAGGAGGGGTTCTGAGCAGGTGGCCATCAAAGCTGTTTTGGCAAGTTGTGCACAATCACAACTTGGGTAACTATGGGTCAAACTATGATCAACCTATAGGATTAAAAATATAGTCACTTAGCTAATAGTGGTCCAATAGGGAAGCAAGGTACGTAGAAGGGTATGCAATGTTCACCACTAGCTTTAGTTTATCTGTAACTTTTCAGATAGAAAGATCAAAGGCATTCTGGGAAATTGAAAGAGAGTAAGGTGAGGGTGTTCTGGTCACTCACCCATGCATCTGATGCCTTAGCTAGGTTCACTGGACCAGGTGGTGCTGATTATAGTACAGTCTAAGCTGCTATGTCTAGGGAGCTTATATGCCTGGTTCTCTGCCAGTTCATCTCTAGGTGCAATTTTGATGTGTCTCATCATGTTCATTGACTCCCTTGAGGGCACGGTCCCTCTTTGACTGCCTTTTAATTTTTTTCTAACTCAGCTTGCTAAAAATCTCTCAATTTAACAGAAGTATTTCTTAGACTCATTTGCTTCCCTTATTTGTAAAAAGTATAACAAGGCAGTATTTTCAAGATGCAGCAAATGGGTATTTATGCCTGTTAATCTTCCACTTAAAGACACTTTGTTTTAAGCCAAAATACTTGGACAGAGTTGGGAGAGTTACTGGCATAGTCAATCCTTATTATCAGTCATATGCGTTGACTGACTTAGACATGCTTTCTCATGGGGAAGTCTACCTTGATTTTAAATTATTAAACCTCTCCATCACAGCCAGCTCCCCCCGAATTCTGATTCTAAGACAGATAAACTGCAGAACTTTTCCACAAGTTTCTCACTTGTATGAAACAAAGTGCTGCCTTCAGGTTTCTGATAGATATTCTCCCTGCTTTGCACCTTTGGGGATGATGCATTCTTTGATAATAAGTAGGAGATGGAGGGCTTCATTCAGGTGGAGGGGTAGAATTTCACTCCTGCCCAGCTTTGTAGTACATTTGAATTCAGAACAACTCAATCTGGTCCCAAATAGCCTCTTTCTATGGCACACTTTTGATCTTAGGGAAACAGAGAAGCTAGCCTGGGGTGCTGTGAATACTGGAGCTGTGACATCACCAATATTTCCATTGTCATTCTCTTTGGCACCGTAGCAGGATTTGGTGTGCCTTCTTAAGTGGAAGAAGCATAACTGTAAAAGAGAGAAAGGAAGGGAAGCCTGAAGATGCTTCTGGTGGGTCAGTGTTACCAAAGAGTCACACGGAAGTCAAATGTACGGAAATGAATGCATTTAAATCTCGGTATGCCTGGTAGCTCTGTGGGAAGCCTCTTTGTTTTTGAAGACTTCTCAGAATCTTCTAGACTGTGTTCATTTTTTAAAAACTATTTGAGTTGATGCAAGTTATTAGATGTGAACTGGCTTTTGTTAATATAATTTCAAGGCACATCACATTGCCTGATGAAGATGTAGGTGTCCTCTCATGGATTCTGAGCAGCAGAGGGTCAGGACCAGAGCTGGCCTGGACCTGGGCATCAAGTAGTGGTAGTAGTGGTGTGACCTGGAGCCAATTACCTTTCTGAACACAATTCTTTTTGGTCACTGTGGACGTCAGAACTGCTTTGTAGGCATAAGTTCAGGAGCAGGAGCCATTAGACACAGGTGAGGAGGGATGGGAAGGGATGGGGAGAAGAAACAGAGAGGGATAGCACCTGTAGAACATCATCCTGGCTGATCTCTAAGTGTCCTTGCTTGTTTTTGTCTCTTTGTTTGGTCTGTTGTCTTTTTGACAGTGCAGCTCAACGTGGACACAGTGTGTGAGCCTTGCCTTGCAGGCTACTTCTCAGATGTCTTTTCTTCCACAGACAAATGCAAACCCTGGACCAAGTAAGTAACAATGAAGGAGCCAAAAGACATGGTTGTTTTTTTAAAAAAAACTTGACCTCCACTGTCTCATCTAGGTTGAAAACAGGCTGATTCTATTTAGTTAGGCTTCCTCCTAGGAACACATCTGTCAGTTCTGTGTGGGGAAAGTAAACTGGTCAGCCCAGTTCTTCAGCCTGTTGTATGATGGGGACTTTGTGTTACTTACTAGATTCAGTAGTCCATAACTTAATGGTCTTCTTTCATTTTTTTTCCCAATTTTCTAATCAAAATTTTCAAATTTTTTTCTAACTTGAACATGACATGACTTCTTTTTGGTGATGCTGGGAATCGAATCCAGGGTCTCCCCTTTTGCTGGGCAAGCACCCCACCACTGAGTTATACCACTAGCCCAAGTTATGACATTTACTTATTATTCGTGCTTTTCTGTTTCCCGACATCACTGTTTTATTCATTCAAAGTTTGTATATCTGCACTAAATATGTGCACCTAAATATATGCACCTAGATCTTTGTGGCTTTTTAAAGCTACTTAGTATTCCACTGTAGAAATGTACTAACTTTATTTAATAAATTTCTTGATAGTCATTTAGATTGTTCTCAATCTCTTGCAGTAATACATACTTTTGTAATCAATAATCTCATATAGAGGTTAAATATCCATTATCCAAAATGCTTGGGACCAAAAGTGTTTCAAGTTTTAACATTTTTTTTTCAGATTTTGGAATATTTTCACATACATAATGAGATATTTTAGGAAGGAAACTCAAGTTTAAACACAGAATTACTTTTTTTGTATACACATTATGTACATAGCATGAAGACAATTTTATATGTTATTTTAAATTATGTTTGTGAGTGAAAAGAAGTTTGATGGTGTCAGGTTTTCTAATTGTGGGGTCATGTTGGTGCTCTGAAACATTTTGACTGTTAGATTTTTAGATTAGGGATGATTAACCTGAATATGCCATGGCCCACTTACATGAGTTTAGCTATGGTAGAATTCCAATACAACATTTCTTTTAGTTCCCAGTATATTCTTATTAAATGCTTATTTTTGGATTCATGTATCCTAGTTTTATGTTGAAAATGTATTCTATATTTTTCAACTTCAAAAAAGGATTCATCAAAAGTTCACCATTTAGTCTGGGGATTTAGCTCAGTGGCGCTGTGCCTACCTGGGAAGTACAAGGTCCTGAATTCTCTGTAGCAGAAAAAAAAAAAAAAAAAAAAAAGTTCACCACTTAGCCATAGTCATTGAAGCATTTGGAATCTTCTTTACTACGTTCTCACTCACCACGCTCTCAGCAGTTCTTAAAGTATTCTCTAAGAATTTTGTCCACTTCTGTGATGTTCCATTCCCCCGTGGATTCAAATGACAAAGATGAAATGAGCTCCCTCTGAAGGACCTGTCAAGCTACCCATAGTATAGTAGAGTCTTTTTTGGTTTTAAAACAGGAATATTAAACAAAAGCATGTAACTATTTTTCCCTCCACAGCTGTACTGTCCTTGAAAAGACAGAAGAACATCATGGGACAGAGAAATCAGATGTGGTTTGCAGTTCTTCTCTGCCATCTAGAAAACTGCCAATGGGTATGCTTGACCCAAGTGTGTTGGGTGGTAGATGTGCCGGTATGGTCCATAGTCTACCTCTCTCAGGAGTTGCATACTGTATTTACCTGGGTTTATCTGTCCCTTCTCATTTCTTCCTATCCAGAGTCAGCTCAGTTTTCCATTTTTATCAGCATTTTAACTAGATACGTTGTTTATTCAATTTTTTAATAAAGTAGCACTAGGGCTTGAACCCAAGAACTTGTACAGGCTAGGCTACTTGACAACTTTTTACATTGGATTGGAGATAACTAATAATATATTTATACACAGAGAGAAAAGAAAGCTGCAAACATGAATGAAAATTTCCAGACAGTAGGGTGATGATGATCATAGTGAGCTGACTGTATGGACATTTTGGTCATGAACCAGAAGTAGCAACTTGTTAGAAGCTAGCTGTCATGATTTATGGAACATTTTGTAAATCAAATTAATCTTAAGCACAATTTCAAAGACTGGCAGAAAGTTAATGAAGGAGGCTGGTTACTCGAGGTGAATGGGTCAGTGTGGAGGTGGATCTGGATATTGGAAGTCACACAAAGTAGCAAGAATACCTTTCTAATGAGGCAAGAGAACAGAGATCACAGAACAATCAGGCAGGCAGGTCAGGGATTGTAATGTGACATTTTGAGAAACAGGAAGACATTAAAGCATGTGGATATGGAGTTACACAATCAGAGCAGAGTTTTTGGAAGACCATTTGGAAAAGAGCATGAAAAATAACTGAAGGAAGCAAAGGCTATTTTTAAAAAAGAGAGAAGGAAAGGAAAGGTGGGCGTCTATAATACAAAGGTTCTAGCAAAAGGCGTGACTGAGAGGGATGAAGAAAATGGTAGAATCCATGTTGTATCATAGCTGAAATAGCGGAAATACTTCCCAGGGTGGCTGAGGTTCCATTCTCATGGCCAGTGCAACCCTAGTGCCATCCTGGTATTTGGACAGATGTGGTGAAGACTTCTTTTTGCCTGCAGAGGCATCCAACCTGGAAAGAGGAAGCAGGGTGTCGTGGTGAGTGCAGTGAGGATTGTGAAGTAGAGACATAGTGATATCCTGGACTGACCTCACACAGAGTGGAGCCAAACCAAGTAGCACTGGGCTTGGCAATGTGAGCTCTCTGAAAAATGCCCAGTTAGGCCTCAAGAGCTGCCTGCTTATACCACACCCACACCCATGATTCTGAGGTTGGAATTCTAGGGTTTTGTTTTTAAATTTCATAAAATTAAGTGAATTTTAATATTATGTTTTTCATCTTCTTCCAACACAGACCCCCAGATTTACTTGCCCAGTTTAATCATTCTGCTTCTCTTCATCTCTGTGGCATTAGTGGCTGCTGTCATCTTCGGGGTTTACTACAGGAAAAGGGGGAAAGCAGTAACAGGTACTGTGTCTCGTGTGATGCTTGAAAATTAATCTTGAAAAAATAGATACATTTGTAGGTAAATGCTTTGGAAGATGAGTAGATTGTCCACTGGGATCTGTTTAAATAAAGTCGGTTGCAGTTTAAGGGAAAAACACCTTCTGTATCTGATTCATTGCTCTCTAGTAAAACAAACAAAACAAAAAGCCAACTTTGCACCTGTTTTTAGCCTTTGGGAAACTGATGATTTGTAAGCTTTGTATTTCAAGTGTATAGGTTGTATAGCATCTGATATATAGGGGGTTGCATTTATTCTTAACTGTACACAATTTATTTATTTTTTTATTTTTTGAGACAAGGTCTCACTATGTAGTTGAGACTGAACTGGAACTCACTATGTATCCCAGGTTGGTCTTGAACTCACAGCGATCCTCCTGCCTCAGCCTCCCAAGTGCTGGGATTACATTCATGCACCACCATGCCCAGCAACTATACACAATTTTAATGTAGGCATTTAAAACAGAGACAATTTCAGATAAAGAATGGGAGGACATTTTGATTGGGGCATTATCTTCAAATGTAAATCTAAAATTATAAGTTATATGAAGTCAAGTTTAGGTGCTCATATTTAGAATGGATAATCTAATGTTGCTTTTAATAGTGTCTTTAAATATTACATCATGTTTGACTTACACTACAAAGCTAAAAGAAGTGTAATTTTTATGAAAGGATTCAGGCTTCATTCAACTGGATAAAGGTATTTCTTAATCTTTTAATGTTCATATCATTCCCTTCTGAAACATTTTTCATGTTTCTGTCCTTTTCCATTTCTAGTTGCTCACTTGTTTATTTTTCCCCCCTCTGCTGTGATTCTCCCATACCACATCCAGGAGTTCATGGAACCCTGTATATCTTGCTGTTTCTATTAACTAATATTACATTGACTAATATTACATTAACTAATATTACAATGTCTTGGACACTCAAAGATAATTAAAGAAAAACATGGTGACTGAAGGTGTGATTGTTAAGTGAGAGCAGTGCTTGAGCAGGAACCACATTTAAAAAAATCCATTTGCTACTGAGAGAATTAACAAAAACTGGTGAAGCCAAAATTGTGTCATGGATAATATAGCAGAAATGCTTCCCAGGGTATCCTTTCACTTGTCTAACAACATCACAATCCAGAATTTAGAAAATACATATTTCATATGATAAGGATCACTTAACCAGTCATGTTAAGGTGAGATAGACTTTCTGATGTTTTGCTCATTAGTTTTTCTTTTTAATAATATTTTACTTCCATATCTTATCAAGAAAAACAATAAGACCATCAATTACTTCATTGGGAATTATGACTGCTGGCTTTCTTTTCATCCATTCATTCCACATATGTTTATCGATCACCTGGGACAGGAGTGGCAATAGAGCTTCAATACAGACATGACCAGGACCTTCCTGGAGGAGACATTTTAGTGGGCAAGGGAAGTATCAGGTTTCCTGAGTAAAGTTGAGGATGGAAAGGTAGATAGATGCCCAGTGCCAGAGAGCAGATGCCAGAGGGTCTGCCCAGCCTTGGGTCAGTTGAGACCTCCCAGAGGAGGAAACAGATGACCTAAGCTTTTCAAGACCAGATAGAACTTTCTAACCACCCCATGATTCAAGGTGAATTATAGTATCCTGCTCTGAGACAATTGCACACTGTGGAACTTAGCAAGTTGGGGGCTTGAAAGAGGCTCCTGTAGCTGGAGTGCAAAACAGCAACACCATAGCAAGATAAGCCAGATTACACCACCCTGTAGGCCTTTGAAGGAGTTGACTCCTTATTCTTAGCCAAAGGAAGCAAGGAAAGCTCTGGTTATAGTATAGAAAACAAATTATGGGAATGCAGGAAGAGATGCAGGTACACCAGCTATTAAGAATGCTGCATCTTTCCATGGAGGGATGATGAATGGTTATCACCTCAGGTACAAGTCCTATTTTTAGTACTGTTTGTACTCATCCAGTACTGATTCCTATAAGGAAAAAACTGCAACTGTCCTTTGATTTGGGGTAATTTTATTTTGTTAAATTAAAAAAATATAGGAAAGCAAGAAAATAATGAGGAGGAGCTTTGATGATGATGTTGATAACAGCAAAACCTGACATATTTGGGCAGTTAGTATGTAACAGCATGGCTATTTACATTGCTGTGTTCTACATAAATTTTCACAAAGTTCCACCAGGTACTGTTAAAACCCCTCATTTTCTGATGAGGAAACTGAGACTCAGAGAGGTTAAACTGTGCAAGGTCACATAATAAAGGCTGTAGCCTAAATGATATTGTATGCATCAACCATTGAGCACAGTGCTGGGCACATTTAAGGGCTTAATGCTTGAGAGATCATTAGCTATCATTAGGAACTGTGATTATGTTCCAGTGAAGAACTGACAATCCCAACTTTAGTCTTAATAGTGAATACAACATTGAATATTTATTGGAGGTGGGTTAAAATTTTATCTTTGCATTATACAAATACATAGATTTTTTTAAAATTCAGAGATTTGACTTTTTAGATTCCATCATTTCTAGTCTATGAAAGTTATGGAACTATATGCTTAGTATATACCACAGAACATATTCTTCTTAGAAGCAAGAAGGTATAGTGGAAAAGATTTACTGTTGGAACTCAGTGGGTCTGACTGTTAGCTCTCCAGCTTGTAATTCACTATTTTTTTCTTAGCAGTACTGAGGGGAATCCAGGATGTTTGTACTGAGCACCATCACAAACTTCTTTTAATTTTTTGTCCAACTTGTTTGGTCTCACTAAGTTGCCAAGTTTCCCAGGCTGAGCTTGAGCTTGAGATCCTCCTACCTGAGCTTCCAGTGAGCTGAGATTACAGGCACGCAGCACCATGCCATGATGTACCTCAGTTTCATTTTACACATATGTGAACTAGTGTTTAGTTACTTTACCATCTCTGAGACAAAATACTCGATACCCACAACATAAAGGAGAAGAAGATTTTGGCTCATGATTCAGGGTATTTAGTCCATATTTGGTTGGCTGAGTTCAAGAGAGAAAGATCATGGAGGAAGGGCGCAGTGAAGGAAAACTGCTCATCTCTGTGCAGCCAGTAAGCATGGAGCGAGAGAGAAGGGAGGAGCTGGGGACAAGAAAACGTCCTTCCAGGTCACATTCCCAATCACCTATTCGTTCCAACCAGGCCCCACCTCTTAACACTACATTTATCTGTGAATTTATCAGTGGATTGAGCCACTTCTGATACAGTCACCTTGCAAAAAGTTCTGCCTCTGAACACATAAAACTTAGAGGGATGTTTTGAATCTAAACCACAATAGCTAGTTTGATGGAAAATCAGTGTCCTAGATACATCTTCTTTGTCCTCTGACATGCTCAGCTTGGTCTCTCATAGACAGTGAAAAATTGCCAAGCCTGTTGCAACTGTCTGTAGTCTAAAATCAACTCTTAGTGCCACAGATGTGGACACAGGTAATTTATGGACCATTAGTGGGCCATGTTTTTCATTATACAGAACAGGAAATTCTATTTTTGATAAGAGTTAGATGATTTCATAGTCTTTACAAATTTTTAAAATTTGTATTAGTACACGCTTGCAGTATGTAATGATTATATTCATTGTGGAAAGTTGGTACATGTATATAATACATGTATAATATGTATACTATTATTTTTCCCCTTCTCCTTCACTCCCATTTAAATTTTTTTTTCTTTTTTGGCCAGTGTCGGACTTGTTTGTTTTATAAATCCTTCTCAAGTCAGCAAAGATTAACAGCCAGACTAATAGGGCAAAAAACATATAAAACACATAAGACAATAATACCAAATCAAGGAGCACTTTTAGATAAAATGGCCATGCTGGATTACAATGTCTCTCTCCCTCTCTCCTTCTCTCTGTCTTCCCCCGCCAAAGTCTGTCTTTTCATAGTCTTTAAATCAGTTTGTTTGTTTACTTATACTAGTTATGAGCCTAGGGCTTTATGCATGCCAGCCAAGCACTCTACAAGGAGCTACACCCTCAGCCCCAGTTGATTTGTTTTTAAATGCATTTGCTTCCAGGCTCACTCAATGAGATACTGGCATTGGAGTACGTTTAAGGTAGTATTGAACTAATAGAGGTTTCAGTAATTCTGGGCCTGACACAGAAAAATAAGTTGTTCTCACATGACATCATTAAAAAAAAAAAGAAAGTCATATACAAAAGCAGAGAGTAAAACAGTGGTTATAGGGGCAAGAGGAAAGGAAATGCAGAAATGTGGGTCAAACAGTGCAAAGTCGCATGTATACAGGATAAACAAATCTGGAGGATTCTTTTGTATTCAGGTTTTTCTGCTAAATGAGTTAAATTTAGCTCTTCTTGTTACACACACACACACACACACACACACACAGAGTGGGTAACTAACTATGTGACATAACGGATAAGTTAATTTGCTTTATTATAGTAACCTACTGGCCATATTGATCCTGTAACATCATGTTGTATAACTTAAATATACAAAAATATGTAAAAAAAAAAGTAGGAAATATACAATTATTTCAAAAAAGAAACTAGAAAGTATAATATGAAGCCACTGATCCTGTAACATCATGTTGTATAACTTAAATATACAAAAATATGTAAAAAAAAAAAGTAGGAAATATACAATTATTTCAAAAAAGAAACTAGAAAGTATAATATGAAGCCCTTATCCTTGCTTTGTTTTTCTAGCTAATTTGTGGCACTGGGTCAATGATGCTTGCAGTCGCCTAAGCGGAAATAAGGTAAAGTCAAAAGTCTTTCATGCCTTCTTTAAATACTTTAAAGAATTATCCCAGTGTGACTATTATTAGTCAACTCTTGAGCCCCACTGCTTAACGGGCACCTCCATTTATGGTGCCAAAGGTCAAATCCAAGGATTTTTTTTAAGAGTAGGAAAAATTTATTGAGAGAAAGATAGCTTTCTGTCTTAGAGAGACAGGAGGACTGGAAAGAGGGTTGCCCCCCAAGGATTGTTTCTTGCTGAGTTACACAGGCCCAGGTCAATGCTCATTCTAAATGCCTGTTTTTCTTTTTGTTCCATTCCATGTTTGTTTGTAACCCAGGCCCTTACACATGCTCGGTAAGCACTCTACCACTGAGCTTCCCCCGACCCTCATTCTACTTCTGTTTTGTCTTTATACATGTTATTTTTCTATTACCAATCTTGATTGCCTAGTACAGAGGCCTAGGAGGAATAAGCTACAACTCTCCTTTGCTCTTGTAGTTATTTTGGCAACTTTTTATTTTGACATACTTTCAGAATTACAGAAAAAAAAATAGTGGGACTATAATAACAAGCTGCCATATGCCCTGTACCCAGCTTCACCCATTGTTTATATTTTATCACATTGTTTATTCTTTACTTTCTCTCAGTATATGAATATACATATTTTTTTCTTGAATCATTTTAAAGTGAATGGAAATGGAGTGTTCCTATACTTTAAATACCTCAGTGTTGGTTTCTTAAGAATAAGGAAGGATACTCATATATAACCATAGTACATTTCTTAAAAATCAAGAAATTTCACAATTTACAATAAATAGTACAATACTATTTTCTAATACACATTTGATATTAAAATCCCATCAATTCTATTTTGTCTATCTATTTTCTTAGGTGTAAAAATATATCAGCTTTAAGATCATACTGAATTCTCTAATTCCATTCTGAACACTAAAGGATTCATTTGCATCTTTCCCCTTTTTTCATGTTTGAAGCTTCCTTTCTCTAGCAGTCTGACATCTGCCTCCTCTTACTCTCAATACGTTTACTCATTTGCTCAGTTATAGAATACATAGAAAGTAGTTTCAGAATTATTAAACCTTACCACAGAAAACACAAGAGTTACTAACTGAAGTTTAGCATTTAGTTGCAGTTTGGTTTTATGATAATATTATCTATTTTGATTGATAGCATATGATGTTACTTAGGTTAGTTCTTTTCCTTGCACAGGAGTGAATATGCTATTCTTTTGAAGTACAGTAAGATTGATTAATTTCTGGCTGTATTCCATTTTAGCCTTTTCCTTCATTGTCTAATTTTAAATAGAACAATAAAATGCTGTGGTGAATGTGCCACCTGTACTTGTCATGGTGGAAATAAATTAGTATGAACACTGTTTTTAGCAGTGGTTAGCCAAACATTCTAACAGCTCTGGGTATTGATGCCTCTGCCTTCTGAATTTATATCTACAGGAGTCCTCAGGCGACAGTTGTAATGGTGTTCACTTGGCAGCCTCTCCTCAGGACGAAATATGTGAAGGTGTCTTACTGCTAACTCTGGAGGAGAAGATGATTCCACAAGATATGTGCTGTCCAGAAGGCGCTGGTGCCTTTGGGGGTGCACGTGCAGGAGCTGGGCCCTGTGCACAGGGCAGAGAAGCCAGAACATTCTCTTTGGTTGAGATTGAGGGTGACCCCTTCAGGCAGATTCCCATGGAAGATGAGTACATGGACAGGTCCTTGCAGTCCCCAGACTGTTTACTGTTCCCATCCCAGCCTGGAAGCAAATCCATACCCGCTTTCTCTGAGCCCCTGGAGGTGGGAGAGAATGACAGTCTAAGCCAGTGCTTTACAGGAACTGAGAGCATGGTGGATTCAGAAAGCTGCAACTTCACGAAGCCCCCATGTAGGACTGACTGGATTCCTGAAAAATATTCACAAAAAGAGGTGCAAGATGGCAGTTGCCCACGCTGGGCAGCCAGTGCCAGCTTGGCAGACAACTGCTCAGGCTCCGGGAACCCTGCTGGGGAGGACCGAGAACCCCTCGTGAGTTCCTTGAAATGTGGACATTTGCCCCAGTGTGCCTATGACATGGGCCTCCCCGCCGAGGAAGTATCCAGCAGGGCAGAGGGGGGCGACACACCCCAGGATGGAGATGATGTGAGGCTTCCAGGCTCCTCGAACGGAGGCACTGGATCTGGGAGCTACCCCAGTGACCAGCCACCTGCATCTGGTAAGTTACTCTCTTTGTTTTCTACCTTTGAGCAAAAGAGCCTATTCTTGGTACAGCATTTGGGACAGGTATCACAAACCACTTAGAGAGAAGGAAACTAACATGGGGAAATTCAGCATGACTTTTCTCTTAATAAGCATCTTTACTGGAAGTGTTTAGGTTCAGTCATTCAGTCCATATGTCGGGTTGTGGATGGTGTTCATTTCTGTGACTTCGTCTACTACCAGGGCTCTGACTGCACTCATGCACATCTCATATCCTTTTGCATTCAGGCTTCTTGTGGTTAGGTGAGACCTCAAACTCCCATATTAACACCTGCCAGAGTCAATACTGACCTCAGGACTGGCTAGGTCAAGATGTTACCACAGATTTCTGGTGTTTGGCCTTTGTTTTAAAACTAACTTAAGTTTCTTAAATCTCTCCCAAGAAAGCTCTTATATATTTCAGGAAGACAAATAAAATTGTATAGTTAATTGTTAATTAGTATTTATTGGAGTAGCATCTTGATTCTATACAAAATTAATGGTGCAGTAAAAATGTCTTTAAATGCTTTCTTTATAGGAGAAGCCCCTTTTATAACCAGTATGTATAATATGTTTATAGAACCCAGAGGATAATTTACAATTTAATATTATTATAGAGATTTATTGCTGTAACACTGCTTGAGCATGAAAAACTCACCAGTGATATTGTGACTTTTTCCTGAGGGTAAAACACCATCTGCTTCATTATGTACTTACTTTGCTGCTGATAGCGAGGGCTTCCTCTGGCTCTGGGAATTATTAGTTCCATGAGGGGTCAGGGATCACATTGAGAATCTTCTGAAAGCTATAGACAATTCTCTCCAGAATTCATAGACTCTTCCAACTCTTAAAAAAAATGCCCATTCATGTGCTACCTGTTTCTAGAGACACTTTTCTTTCGTGTCTCTTGATTTGGACTTGCAAGTGGTGTTAGCAGCCAGCTGTCTTTAAATTATTCTTTAATCCAAGGTAGCTAGATCTGTGCCTTAAGAACAGACGCTGTTTTGCTTCAAGGTAATGAGGGCTCCTGGCTTGTTTGGTAAAACAGTGGTGCTTTAATATTTGCCAGGCCTTGTGGCTTGCTGAAACTACTACACGCATCTACTGATGCATAAATTCTGTCATATAAATTACCAGTCAAACAGAGAGGAGAAGATAAATTTTTGTATACTTTTGAAAGAACTGGTGTAGTTTTCCTTCAGAAGACCTCAAAATTTATCTTTAAGGTTTTAAGAAATTTCCATGACTAAAAATCAGGCCCTTTTTTTTTATTTGCCTTGTTCTACCTCTATTATAACAGCTTCCCCTTGGTTCAGGAGGTACACAGAATGCAAGATTCTTGGGCTGTGGGAACGAGAGGGCTGCAGCTCAGTCTATGGCAGCAGCCAGGTCTTGACACCAGGAAGATGTCAGTCACAGGTCACTGGGAGGAAGTCCGAAGTGATTCTTGGAAGAGCACAGTTGGCCAAATATAAGGAGATTCATATTCATATCCCCTATCCCGTGTGTGTGTGTGCATGTGTGTATTTATTGTCCTGAACCAAAAAGTCAAATCTTTGCTCTCCTGCAAGAGTTAAAATAGTAGCCTCTTCTGGTTTTCATTATTTTTGCAGCACTAACCACCTAGGCATAGAGGAAAGGAATAAAAAATGTGTCGTCAACTGAGTGGTGTTAATTTGCAAAAAGTTTACACTGCTTTTTCTGTCCTTGTCTGGTGCTCAGCCATGCAAAACATCCGTATAGTCTGCCCGTGCTCAGTTGCCAGCCAGTGGGCGAAACTAATTTTCGCCTGAGAAAAAGCAGCAGCCAGATTGATTTTTGAAGCTGTGCTATTCTCTCTACAATTATTTCTACATGAACAGGCCTTCTGGTTTCTGGTCATGTAGCACATTTTTATTCTTTTAAAAATTATCATAATTTATGTTCTATAAAGTGTATGAAAGAGGAGGAACTTTGGGTAAAAAATAATAAAGGGAGGGCTGGGGATTTAGCTCAGCAGCACAGCGCCTGCATGACAAGTCTAAGGTCTCGAGTTCAGTCCCCAGTACCAAACAAACAGACAAACAAAAACAAAACAAACAAACAAAAACAAGAAATAAGAGAAGGGCCTGATCTCTCTGGGTCTCCTAAAAGGCACTGTGTTCTCAGGACTTGTGGATGGTGGGTTTTGGGATGTTCTAAGTATTATTTTGTTTAAACATGCAACCAAATCAAGTGATTTTTGGAGAAATGACAATGACTGGGGACCTGAGTTCTGTAGGAAAAGGAATTTCCATAGAGGCAGATTTTTTTAAAAAGTGGGTGTTGTTCAGACAGCTTCATAAGTTGAGACAATTAAAAGAAAATATTCAAGGTTAAGGCTATTTTAATGATGTTATAACATTTAAAGAACTATGAAAATTATTAGTGAAGACCAACAGAGGGGGCAAAACATACTTTTGGTTATGTCTTAAGCAACCACTTATGCCTTAAATGTCATCTAATCCTGATGGCTGGTTACCTTGCTGACAAACGTTCCCAGGCAGAGTTAGAATTCCCAGTGTGCCACTGGAGAAGTGCTACTTCATATGGAAGAAATAACAGCTACTTATAATTAATGTGTCATTGGCCATTGACTTGGCTTTGGCTCCTAAAGTCATTCATTTGGTTCAGCCACTTCTGAGCTGGAGAGAGTTGTTTATTTATAGGCTCCCAATAATTCTTGATGAACACCAGCCCAGCTACATATTTGCTTTTCTGTGAAACCTTTATCAAAGGTCTGACTGAGCCAGAGAGACTTGGACAAACTGAAAAACAAGTAGGGATTAATATTAGAGAAGGGAGAATAAAAAAGAACCAATAATTTCAGAAATGAAGTCCTTCCAAAGACTGCTCCTTTTCTAGACTGCTGCTTGGTGTTATTCATAAGGAGTGTTTCTCATGGAGCCAAGATATTGTCATCAGTCTTTTATCAAGAACCCAGATTAAGCAGTCACAGCCATTCAGTGAGAATTTTCATAACCTTGATATTCCTCATCTTTCTAGTATCTCTGAAGGTGGTTTACCTGTGGTATATTCAGTGAATAAATGTTTATAGTCTCATTCATTCAACCAGTCAGAATGAGTAAATGAACAAGGAACTACCATTCTCATTTTTGTTCTCCAGTGCATTCACTGGTTTCCTCTTTAGAGCTAGAGAGAAGCACAGGATGGAAGGAGAGGCATTTGTTGTCCTGGACACACTCAGCCATCCTGGGGAGAGGCGACAGAGACCACAGAACAAGGATGAGTTGGCCCATCCAAGTGGCATAGATTGTCTAAAGCAGACACCTGGGAGTCAAGGGTATTGAAGATAATGAATATACCTGTCTGACTCCCCATTTATCCCTCATCCTCAGCTCCCATCCCTGGATCCACCAGCTTTTGGAATGACTGTTCTTCACCATCCATTTCCATTCTGGAAAAATGGGAAAATGCATTTTCTTCCTTTTCCCTTCTGTCCCCTCAGGAATGGACAGGCCTCTATTTCTGATGTTCTTTACTCTCCTGTTAGAAGGAGTGTCATCCACCAACTTGAATTTCAGCTTCTAGCTCAGTGTTGTAAAGTAGACACTAATTAGCTCTTTGGCCCTGAATCTTTAAGTTAAAATTATTATTTTATAATTTGGTTACTTTATAATATTCAGCATTCATTGGTACTAAAAGTCAATGCATTACTTCAAACTATATAAAAAATGTGTTCACTGTATACTTTGCTTAACTTAGTCCTGCTTTCCTTTTTCTTTACCAATATGGGGAGAGCTTGGTCCTAAGACTTTGCAATTTTCAAGCATGATTCAGAATGGAACTATTAAATATTCCTCTTCCATTATCTTCATATACCCAATTTCTTCCAAATGCCTGAAACAGAGCTTACATTTCCATAAAAAGGAAAGTCACATGAGAAGCATATGGGTTAAATATAAAATACATTTTTAAAAAATTCCAAAAGAACCCAGTGAAGCCTGGGTAGTTTGAGTGTATTTGTGTATATTTTTAGTTCTGTTCCTTGGAAGAAAATCTACATGACAATTTGGTGGTATTACTTGGCATAGTTCTTGTGATTTAATATTTATATGCTATGCATTTTAAACAATATAATAGATTTTTGAGAGGAAAAAAATTATTACCTCCATTAAAAATGTAAATTTGGTCAGGGATTGTGCTCTTACAAGTAGCTTTATTCTTTCTGCCTGAGAAAAACAGACTCCAGAGAGCCTGCTTAAAGCATGGGTTTAACAAAGTATAAACAACTTTTTGATTGTAAGAGACACATTATTTCTTCATTGTTTCTGTTGTTTTTTGATGCTATTTTTAACACTCAGATTATCTGAACATTTTTCCTATTAAGTCACAGTAAATATTAATGTTAAGACAACTAATCCATTTTAAATGTTAGAAATTCTCTAACATTTCTAATTTTATAAAAATACCCAACACATTCTGGTTTTTAAGTCATACCTTTGAGTAGTTTTCAAATAGCATTCTATCAGTTATATAAGACCTATAAGTTAAATAGAGACCTATAAGATTGTGTTGCTATCCTGAAAGTTGCAGCTTTATCAGTGATATTTTATCATGGGTATCGAATTTAGGACCTTGTGATTGTGAGGTAGGCAGCGGCACCACTGAGCTAAATCCCCAGCCCAGTGATATTTTAGATATTAGCTACCAGGCACTGGCTAAGTGCTGTGTGTGTGAATTGTCTTTTTAATTATTCACAGAAACCCTCTGGGTCAAGCTCCTCATCCAGGATCACACAGCTAATAAGCAACAAAGCTCTGATTCAAACATCTGACAGTGAAGCTTGTGCATTAACCCACCATACCATCTCCTCAAGTCAGTGCAGTGGCAGTGATTTAATTCAGTTACTTGCCTTGGGCTCCATGGAATAAGGGCTAACACAGGCTGTGGTAATTGGCTGTTCTGGTTGAGTGCAGGGCAGTGGCCAGGCCAGGC